TGTTGGCAGTTAAAACAACAACTTTACTTTTCCACAGTTTAGGCCTACAAATAAATGTGGAGAAATTGGCCTTGACCCCTACACCGTGAATACTTTTCAGAGGAGCGTTTCTGGATTTGATGATGGCTTATCCTCCCTCCCAATAGGTTCCTTGCTCCAAAGAACCTTATCCAAAGAATGCAGCACAGTCCTCAAGTCTCTGTTTTTATAACACAGAACCCTAGATTACATCTTTGATGTTTCCAGGTGTGGCTCAGGACATTTTACATGCCCAACAGACACAGTCTGAACAAACAGGTGTCTAAACCAAGCTGGGTGCAACAATCACTCACCTGGTAGAAGGATCCTTCCAGGGTTTGTGCAGGAACCCCATTAATCCAGAATCCCTGTACGGTCATAACATTGGACCCTTCTCTCTTGGGATGGGGAGTACGTTTGGGTTATCACTCAGGCCAGGGCAAATGCTCACAACAAGAACAGTGCTTGCAAATCAATCTGCTGGAATTGAGGGCAGTTAGAAGTGCATATCCATCAATGCCATTGCTCTAAAGGTTGTCAACAAGATCAAGCAGGACCATGCCAGGGTCTTTTTGAATGCACCAACTTGGCCAAGACAAGTTTGGTTTCCTTACCTTATCAGATTCACCTCTGACCCTCTGTGGCAGCTCCTACTTGATTCTCAACTGTCTCAATGTGGATCGAACACTTCACCCAAATCTGAATGTTCTGCAACTCCAAGCATAGTGTCTCAATGGTTCTTGGAACTAAAAACATCCTGTTCATTGAGAGTATAATTCGTGCTGTTAAATATCAGGAAAATCTACAAGATAAACTTGCCTCCAGAAATGAAGCAGATACCATCTTTGGTGTAACTGCCATCATCTTTCGCATTCTAGTCATCTTTTTCTTGGATTATCTGTTGGAATTGAAGAAATTGGTCTCTGTATGTGAGTTCCATCAAGGTTCAATTAGTATCAATAACAGCTTTCTGTTTGCCAGTAGAAGGTTTCTCAATTTTTGCACATCCAGCCACAAGGAGGTTCATGAAAGACCTTATGAATCTTTTTCTGATGATTAGAGATCTTACTCTGCTTTGGGATCTCAACCTTGTCCTTAACTGTTAAACAAGCTTTTGAGCCACTAGCTGTGTGCTCTCTGTTACATTTGTCTATGAAAGTGGCCTTTTTGGTGGGCAATGCTTCTGCTTTTAAGTTTGGGGAGAGTGGGGCTGTAATGGCAGGCCCTCCATTTATTGTGTTCTCCAGGGAGAAAGTATCATTACAACCCCATCCAAAATGTTTACCTAAGGTTTCTTGTGAGTTTCACATTAACCAAACTATTCACCTTTCAGTTTTCTTTACTAAGCCTCATAACTCTCTATGCAGCAAGCCACCTTCCTTCCATACCCTAGATGTTAAGAGAGCATTAGCCTTTTACTTGAACAGAACCAAACAATTCAGGAAGTCCCCTAGACTTTCCCTCCTTCTATTGCAGATAGGTCTACAGGATCCAGTATCTTCATGCAGAGAGACTATAAATGAATCTCAGAATATATTATCACCTGTTATGGCTTGGCTGTTGCTCAACTTTCTGTACGAGTGACTGCACATTCTACTAGATCAGTCTACATCTGTAGCCCTGTTCATGGATGTTTGCAGAAATCTGCTGAGCTGCAACATGGGCTTCACTACAGACTTTTTCCTACCATTGTGCTTTGGTTCACGCAGCTAGATCAGATGCTGCAGTAGGCAATGCAGACCTCTCTTCAGTGCTGGACTCTGTTCTGAACCTCCCACTTCCTTAAGGGGTTGCTGTGGTGGAGCCACCTGAAGTGGAGTACTCACAGAGACACTACTCGAAGAAGGAGAGGTTACTCATCTTGTGCTGTAACTGGAGTTCTTTGAGATGTCAGTCTGTGTGGGTGCTCTACTACCTATCCTCCTTCCCCCGCGCTTCAGAGTTTCTCTGTGGGACTTTGTGGTAGAGAAGGAACTGAGGGTGGTTTGCCCATGCGGCCATTTATAGCCTCAGTATGGGACACAAGCAGGGCTTAAATTCTTATAGATTATTTCCCGGAGCCCCCCTTGCCCCTCCGCAACATGCTATAAAAACTCTCAGGTCGTTGAAAATATTTACCGGAGCTCTGCTCTGGACAGCTCCGGCTGAATTTAGCCCTGGACACAAGGATATATAGGGCACATGTGCAAGCTGAATGCGCACTGCTACCAAATAGCTTCGATCAAAGGCTCAGGGTGCATGTCCATCTAAAGTGGAGCATCCACAGGGAGCTCTAGTTACTGCACAAGGTGAGTAACCTCTCCTTCTCTAATGACCCAGAAGGAACAGAACACAGCTGTCAGTTTCACTTCCTTGTTACCCCACTGAGAAAGTACTATGTGCAGAAGAATGGGTGCAGTTCTCCACTAGATGGTGAAAGAGAGACAAATGAAGGGGGAGAAAGGAAGCTAGTATAGTGGTAGAGTAAGTTTGGGACCAAATTCTCCCTTGTTCCCTAGCCCATTAGAAGCTTGAGAGTACTGGGGAGGTAGCACACATGGCCCAGTAGGGAGAAGAGAATGTTTTATGTCAATACCCAATGGTCCCCCTTCAGTCCCAATGAGTTCCAGGTGGAGCAGTGTCCAGCCTTCCTCAGGGGTGATTATTGTAGGGCTTTGAGGTGCTGTCAGGAAAACACGAGTCACAGACATTAAATGAAACCAGTAAGGGGTTTGCATTGTGGTGTAGGATAGTCCAGTGAACTAGTATGCTCAAGAGACAGTTTGCTATTCCTGCCTCTGCTTGTGTATGCCTCCTCCTTATCACTCCTCCTGGGCTGGCATTGACTGAGAGTATGTTGAAGAAAACATGCCCTGCTCTGGTGTGGGGCAGAGAGCAGCCCCATAACACAAGTACTTGCAAAAGTCTTGGAGCGCTTTGTAATAAAATAATATAAACATCAATTATTAAGAACAAATAAATGCTACCATAAACATATTTCTTTAAACTACTTTTCAATTCTGGCACCAGTTGGCAATCTGAAATAGTAGAAGGAAGTTTATTCTACAATTAGGGCATAATTATTATGAATTCTTGCTCTCTCTCTCAGAATGTTGTGATGAGAGAAGGGTAATTAAACTAATCATTTGGAATGTAAGGGAACACTAGGGATGTATTAGGTGAAAGCCGGTCAATCTGGAAATCTTACTTAAAATGTAAGTTAAAAAAGCCTTAATATTGATGTAGAAGTTTACTGGGAATCGCTGTGAACTTTTAAAGCTCAGGGAGATGTGACTAGAGCTCTGCAAATATCCAATTTTTCATTTCAGTGGCCTGACGAAAAAGTCTGGGAGGAAGAAAAATTATTTTGGTTTGAAGTGAAGCAAAACGAGGTGTTTAAAAAAAAAAAAAAAATTCAGCTAAACCTAAAAGAAAAAAAACCCACCCTAGTTTTGTTTCAAACGAAACATTTATTTCCAAGTATCTTAAAAAATACAATTGAAGCAAAATAAGAAACAAAACATAATTTTTAATCAAAACTGAATGTTTCAACTTTTTGAAAATGTTTCCACTTGTCTGGATTATTTTTTTCTACTGAAACAGGTTGGTGAATTTAACATGGCATTGTGAAATCTTTCAGTTGACCTGAATCTGAATTTTTTGGTGAAAGAGTTGCATCTGAAAAATTTTGCCCAGCTCTCATTGTGACTTTCTTATACTTGTTAGGATATGTGCTTCTGTGTTCTGGACGAGTGGCATCCTTCATATTTATGTGAAGGTATACCAGATAATAGAGAATTATGCTAATTAACCTACCTGTGCCTTAAGCATATATCAGCAGCTATAAGTGGCTTGTCTTGAGCACCTGGCATTATTTTTCAGATGGTAAAACAAAGTCTCAATAGTAGACCTACAGACAAGAAATCTAATCCAATGATAAATATGATGATAGAATGACATCTGAGATCACAATAGCATCGCCAGTTGAAATTACCCTGGCCAAAGTATGGCTCAGTTGCTACTTTAAGCCTTTTAATAAAAAATCTGTCTTGTCTATTTCATTTAATAAAATTGAGAAATCCATTGCTTTGTCTCACATAAAAAAAATGTCTGCCATACCAGAGTGCCCTCCACATAGCAATGAGTGCAATTCATACGTCTTTAAAATGGAACCAAGTAGAAATGAAAAGCAAGCGCAACTAGAACTGTAGGGGACACCACTTTATAGAGAAATGAATTGTGAATTAAACTAACCAGTGAAACTGTTGCTGGGTGATACAATAAATAGATTCAAGGTATGTCAGAGTAAACTCTCACCCATGCAATTCTTTTTGCCTGTTTAATCCTGTCACACAATGTTGAAATGTCTGGTGACAGTAAGGGTGAAAAAGTACGAGTTAATAACAATTTCCATAGTGTGCGTTCTTCAAAAGCCTGATTTAAAACATTTTTAATAAATCAAATTCAGACTTTAAATAAGATGGTACTCTTTTAATAGTGAGGGTAATTAAACATTGGAACATCTTGTGGAAAGTGGTGGATTCTCCAACAGTTGATGTTTTTCAATAAAGATTGTCCTTCAGTATGCAGTATTTCAACCAGAAGATATGAGCTGGTTGCAGAAATTAGTGGCCTGTGTTATGCAGCAGGTCAGACTAGATGATCTGTTGTTGACTTTGATGGGCAGTAGCTGCTTTAATAGTAAATTCTAATTATCTTCTTATATTTTCAGCCAGGTTTCCAAAACCAGGACATTGTTTACAAATGATTCTGTCCTATTCACAGCTGTCAGTAGTAACACAAGGTCAAATCTTAATTTCAATGTCTCGATAATATGGTGGTATGGACTATATAAATGCCATTAGCTATTTTTAGTGGGAGTTTGAATGGGACATTATAGTTGAAAGACTATTGGAAATGTTTTACATTTAATAAATATTTTACTTTACTTTATTTTTTATCAGTTGTTCCTGATGTGCTATAATTTTGCATCCAAATTGCAGGTGTATCGAAATTTAAGAAATCTCGAAAAGTCACTTTGGAGCCCCCAAAACCTGCAAGTCTGGAGCAGGTTCCGGAGGAGCCATTGGATATCATACCCCCTCTAATTGTTGACCATGACAGATTAAAGGTAATGGGACTGAGAACTAAATTTAATAATTACCACTACCAACCCTTTTCAAACACCCTGGAAGATATTTTTATACTCTGTACAGAAAATTGTGAAGACCCAACTTCCCTTATTTTATACTGCAGAAAGTATAATCTTTTCTGTCAGCATTATTGTTTGAAGATTTTCTTTATCCAGCAATTTTTATTTAATTAGTGACCACATAACAAAATTAACTACTCATTTGTATCTTACTGCTGTATCTGCAGATACAGTAATAAATATACATATAAAAGCTTTTTAATAATTATGGTATAAAAGTCCAGTCCAGTGTTTCCAGTGCAGTTTGTGCAGACACAATTATGCAGTAATAGGGGTTGATGATGTAGTTGTGTTGATTGGTGAAGTGGAGTTAATATCTGCTCTCTTCCCGCCCCCCATCAAGTTAGTTTGTTTTTTTTGTAGGCATCACAACAAAGGAGTTTTTTAAGAAGGGCTTTGAATGTTTACAGAGAGCTTCTCCCAAGTGTGAATATGTTTTCCATAAGTGTAGTAATTAGAGAATCTCTGCATACTGAAACAAACAAATGTAAAGAAGATCTCCATTAAGAGTTATCTGCTCTTAAGACGGTTGACAGCAGTTATATTATTTACATACTGAACCATGTTCTTGTTCTGAATATAAAATATCCTTCTAGCACATTTCTGCTTTGTCCACAAACAATTAAATGTAATAATTAGTCTCAAACAGATTTCAAGAATGAATATATGAAAAACTTGATTCTTTATTTGTGTTATGTTTTTCCTCTTAACAGAAACTACTGGATTTGTTGGTTAAGAGAAGTAACAACCTGACTGTTGACCAACTTGAGAGGCTGTACTCACTCCTTAGTCAGTGCATCTATCGGCATCGTAAAGATTATGACAAATCACAGCTTGTAGAGGTAAAGTTTTACAATTTCTCTTGTTTCTCATCTGAATTTTGCAATAGACTTTGGGTAGCAATATTTCTGTATTAACTGGTGCACATTAGAAATCCTCTTGTGAAAACTATATTAACTACTAAGGATAAAAAGAAACTTAAGCAATAATGGCTTAAGGAACACAGTGACCATTAATTTCTGATATGACCCAATCCCCCTATCCTTCCCTTGCAAACAATCAAACCCATGCTGGGGTGTCTCTGTTTCTGTCTCATTAAATGCGATCTTAAAGAACATAAAGAGGATGCAAATGACAAAATCCATAAAATTCAGATATAAGACTGGAGAATAGTATCAACTCATTCTCTAGAGGCGGAATACTTGTGGCACCTTAGAGACTAACAAATTTATTTGAGCATAAGCTTTCATGGGCTACAGCCCACTTCATCGGATGCATAGAATGGAACATATCGTAAGGAGAGATATATACACGTACAGAGATCATGAAAAGGTGAGAGTTGCCCTACCAACTCTAAGAGGCTAATTAATTAAGATGAGCAATTATCAGCAGGAGAAAAAAACCTTTTGTAGTGATAATGACAAGAAGGTGTGAGGATACTTAACATGGGGAAATAGATTCAATGTGTGTAATGGCTCTTACATTCCCAGTCTCTATTCAAGCCTAAATTGATAGTGTCTAGTTTTCATATTAATTCAAGCTCAGCAGTTTCTCATTGGAGTCTGTTTTTGAAGCTTTTCTGTTGCAAGATTGCCACTTTAAGTCAGTTACTGAGTGACCAGAGAGATTGAAGTGTTGGCAACCTTGCAACAGAAAATCTTCAAAAACTGGCTGTGAGCCTGTTGTTTCTGTCACTGTCACCTTCACCTTAGAAATGTTTGCATTTCAGAAGCTCTATATCTGAAGCGTTTGTAAAGTACTTTGGGACTTTTGAGTAAGCATAGTGTTTTAATAATGTAAAGTGCAATTAGGGCTTAAATATCTTCCTTTAAAAAGGCTTTTCAGACTGAAGAACCTGTCTTTTGCTATGGTCCAGGAATTGGCAACCTTTGGCACGCAGCCCGTCAGGGATATCAGCTGATGGGTCGGGACGGTTTGTTTACTTGCAGTGTCTGCGGGTTTGGCCAATCACAGTTTCCACTGGCCGCGGTCCCCCGTTCTAGGCCAATGGGGGTTGCGGGAAGCCGCAGCCAGCACATCCTTCGGCCTGTGCTGCTTACCGCAGCCCCCATTGGCCTGGAACGGCAAACCACAGCCACTGGGAGCTGCGATCGGCCAAACCCGCGGACGCTGCAGGTAAACAAACTGTCCTGGCCCGCCAGTGGATTTTCCTGACAGGCCGCGTGCCGAAGGTTGCCAATCCCTGCTATAGTCCATTTATAAGATTAGGTTTTAAAAAATACTAGATTCATTTCTAACCACTGGACAGTAGATGGTTATTATGAAACCTTACATTTTTGTATGATGTGGAAAAAGACTACTACTTTTCAGTGGTCATGTTTCAGATAAATGATTGGCCTTAAATCAATAAACAGAAGTATTGCTTGACAGCAGCTCTGGTCCATACCTCAGCCTTCCTCATTTAGTAATACATGGAGGGTGCATCAACTGAAGTTTTATCTTAGTATACCCACGTCTTCCCATTAACCATCAACTAGGAAAACTAATTAAAGAAGCATTAATGCAGAAAACAGTCTCCCATTTATTGTTTTCCATCTACTAGCAGAAATGGTTAACAGAATTGTCTATTTTCTTATAAATTATTTGTTCAGGTTTAAAAGAAAATCATAGTAGATCTGATTATAAAACACTAACTTTATTTCTGTTGCTGTATATTTATATATAATTAATGCTTGGTGTCTCTTGCAGGAAATGGAAAGAACAGTTCATATGTTTGAAACATTCCTGTGATGTCTTTGAGATGGGTGGGTTTATCCTCTTAAACTGCTCATGGGAGAGCAGTCTTCTGAGCCATTCGATTTCCAATTGCACCAAGTATGTGCAGAGCCTTGGTCTTAAGTGCTCGCTCTCTTTCTTTCTGTTAAATTTGGTGCTATTGTCTCAGGTACCTGAAACCAACCAGCCTACAAGAACCAAACAGAACTTCAGACAGTTGTATCTGATATAAATAAAGAATACAACACCACAACTTGGAGATTTTTGGTGCTACAGAAACTGCTCTCATTTCTGCTCCTGTTCTCTCTACATGCATTATCTTTTGGGAAACTTCAGACACAGTGGAGCAGACCAACCAACACAGAACCTGGATAGAGCAGATCTAACTAGGTTGAATTTTTTTAAATGGACAACTTTTTAAATTTTCCTTTTCAGTTTTTTTTCTTGTTCTCTGGGGTAATGGACAGAAACCTGTTTCAAAGATGGCAGTGATGCATTGTGGTAGGAAACTTTAGTAACTGGATGTACAGTAATTTGAAAATGAGGCTCTCTAGAACTGCCTTTAATGTGCCTTTTTAGTCAATTGAGAAAGATAAGGCTATTCAAATGGTTGGGCTTGTAGCAAATGGCAGAGTTAGAAAGCTGTCTTCAGAATGAAGAGCTCCAAAAGGATGATTTGCATTTTCCTCATCATTGAATGGCAACCAGTATTATGATTCTAAAATGCCTGTCTTACTCTACAGAACTAAACTAAGACACACTGAAAAAAGCAACACAACTTTACCAAAACAGTGACATTCTTTTATTCTGTTGGTATATTTGTTATTGAAATAAACTACACAGTGAAACTCTCGTATGTTGCTGAAAACGAAGTGAAGAGAATATTCATTATGGGGGCTATTCTTTTTTCCCACAATTCTATTTATTTGTTGTCCATTTTAGTTCTTAGAAACAAAAGATGTTTAATTCTGGCAGGTTTCTTTCTAAAGTTTTTTTTTTATTAAAGCTAAGACTTGCTGAATAGACATAGAAAGGAGAGACAGTTAGCCAAAAGTCCTGGAGCCCTAGCTCACTGTAAGTACAATTTAATCCAGGCTCCCACACCTTGGGCCATGTATAGCAGTATTAACGTGGGGGGTGGGCGGGGAAGATACTTTATATGATCATTGGCCATTTGTGGACCTCTGAACTGGGCTGTGTGGATTGCAGTTCTCTATAGCTGAATAGTGAGTGTATCAGTAGTTCAAAACTTTCCTTTCTGGAAATTGGAGACACACAATCTAGGCAGTTGCAAGAGGCAAGGACGTTGCAGTAAAAGTCTTATCACAGGCTCAGTGTTAAAACATTACCTGGGCTGATTTGTTTCAGACAAATAAGTAGAAAATGTTGTAGACAGGTTGGCTGGTGTTACCATATGTTACCGTTCATTATAACTGTTATATGTAGCTGCAGGAGCGTCTTTCCAAAATATGCAACACGTGTTTTGTTTTTAATTAGAGAAAACAGTCTTGGACTACTGCAGAGATACTGAGCTACCTCAGCTTTTTCTATTTTAGTTACCAACAGTGTTGACGGAAAACTGTAACACTCTGCTACCGTTTACATGCTGAAGCTAAGGTACTTGTCTCCATGTCTTTGGCTAGTAGTAGTATGCCACTGCAGAAAAACAAACTTGGGCCTTGGGCTACTGCAGTAATCCAAAGTGCTTCTTTGTGTTTTATGTTTAAGCCTTCTAATTCTAGTTTGACCTTTTTCTCCCCCAAAATGCCACTTGTTTTCTTAATATCTAAGAGAAAAAAGTTTGAAGGCTTAGTATGCATCTAATCATACTATTCTAAATGCAACCCATGTAGAAACACTGTATATTTTGGTGAGAAAGTGCGATTAAAAAAACAACAAAAAACAAACAACGCAACAAAACCCCCATATTTCAAACAAGGCGTTCTTTGCTCTCTCAAATTTGATTATGGGGACTTTTTTCATGTTTCCTTTAGTATTTATTACCATCATTCCTGTTTCAGATATTTTGCTGTCTGGTACATTAATAACAATTTTGTATTTTGATGGAAATTGTTACAAACTTTAAGATTTGATTAAATAAAATGTAGCAGATTTTTTGTAGCAAGTTTCTGGTAAAAGGGTTTTTTGCAAGTCTCAGGTTCTTGCTGCAGATTTTTTTTTTTTTAACAAATATTTATTCCAGTTTCACTTATTCAGAGAAGTATTTGTTCAGGTAGTAGCAGGACTTGTGAAAGGTAAAACTGCATACATTTTTAACATGTTGCTTAATTTGTATGAATTAAACAATTGAGTTTTTAGTCATCAGTGAGTTTGACTAGCAAATATAAGCTCACGCATAGCATTAAAGCTCGCGCCTAGCATTAAAATGCTTCCAACAGGTCAGTTCTTTTTAAAATAACTTTTAATAGTCCTTAAAAGTTGATATGGAAACTGAAAGGTGCAACTTTACTAACTGAGGAGCTGCAACTTCAATATTTTAGATCTTTTGAAAAGAATTAGCCAATCTAAATGTTTTTCTTGGGTAAAATTATACCTGCCTTTATGGCCCAAATAATCACATTACTATATCAGGTTTTTCTTTTCCTTTACAGATGCCTGGTGGGTATAGAGTTAAAGCAGCTGTTAATCTATCCATGTGGTCTAAACTTGTTTACTGTTGTACATCTTTAATTTTTCGTTTGCCATATAGCACTGGCAAGAATTTGTACAAATCGACCTCTATTCCTTGTTTTCTGATGTGAAAATTGCAAATAAACTCCTGTGCAAGGCCTTTTTCTTGGATCAGTAAAATGTGGCAGAGCCAGGTGGAGGTAAACTTTGTGGGCCATTGGGACTGTATTGGAGGTAGTGGAACTGTTCTAGGGTGAAGTTGGTGGCTGTGGAGTTAATAGTATTTGCAAGCTTGAATCTCACCTGTGATTAATTTTTGTTTGTTTTTGTCTCCTTTTGTATTGTTGATTTTTCTCATATGCCAATGTATTTATAGGATTATTGGTTTTTTTGTATTATCTTGTCTTCCCATTTTTTGATTAAGTTGGTGGGTCAGCTCTGGCTTTTACATTCAATATATTGAATGTCAGGTCCTGCAGCTGATAGTCATTTTATTTTATTGTTTGTAATCACAACATAAGCTTGAATTCGGGCTTGTACCTGCATCTTGTGTATCTTGTACATTGGGTTATTTAGACATCGGGGAGTCCTATTGTTTGGTTAATGTTTGTCTACTTTGTGGATTAAGTCAACTTCTTTCATCAACTATGATATATTTTGGATTCTATAGTTTTATTCAGAATTGTGTTAAAATTGATGTTTTGCATTTTAACTTCATTTTACATTAGTTTTAAGTAAGTTATTTAATTTTTGAACTTCTGGAAATTTTGAACATTTTACTGTAATTTGTAATATAACTGCTGTGAAATACTTGAATAAAGATGACAAGAAAAACATGGCTTTGGTTCCATTAAAAATGTTCTTGCATTTCAATGAAATGGTAATCTCCTAACCGAATGTCAGCCTTTTTCAAGCCAGAGATTTCATTGATGTTTCAGTAGGCATAATTTAATTCTGGGATCTCACTGCTTGGTTGTTTAGGCAGTTTAGTCAGTAACTTTGCTCTCAATGTTTGCCTGTTAAAGGAAAACATCCACTTTTAATTTTGGCTAACTATTTGAAATTTGCAGTGTGGATTATAATTAAATAACCTTAAGAAGGAAAAAATCTCCCTACTGTTAGGAAATGAGCTAAGTTAAATTGTAGGGTAATGGCAAGTGGGTAGTGCTGCTTTGCTGTACATTAGCATCAAAGTGGGGCCATTGATTTCTTTTGTCTCACAGTCCTTTCCCCAGCTGAACTCTTTTTCTTCCTATGTAATGAACATTTTTCACTTCTCCAAATTGTTTTAACATTTTGGAGTGGTTTAGTTCATTTAAAGCTAAAATTCTAACTCAACCCAGGTTACAGATATGCTTCTAGAAGACTCCAAGGTTATTTTTAGAAATCCAAGCTGAAATACAAATTGGGACAAACTGTCAATATAGAGATTACATAAATCAAGGGTTACCCAGACTTTGCCCGGCTGAGGGCCACATGGGCAGTTTACCTGGAGCTAGAAGGCTGTGTGTAATTTATAGAACATGGAGCAGATACAGATGTGCAGTTCTTTAGGATTATGCCTAATTGTAGGAATTGGCATACTGAATTTTTGATCCTGTTCCCCTTTTTTGCCTTGTGTTTCGGGAATACAAAGTTCCTGTGCATGTGAAGGGGATGTGGGATAAGAAGGTTGGTAACATCTTATTTCAGGTCTGATTCTCCCGTTCTGCTTTTATACACCAACCCAATAGCTTAGATAGATTTCAAGTGCCACTCTTTTGGCAAACAGTAACTTCAGGGGGATCAGAATAGAGTCTCGACCAGTTAGAGGTACACTCAGGTCCTACAACAGGGGTGGGCAAACTTTTTGGCCTGGGGGCCGCATTGGGTTTTGTACATTGTATGGAGGGCCAGTTAGGGGAGGGGGTCGTGGCCTGGACCCCACCTCCTATCTGCCCCCCCCAACTCCTGCCCCATCTAACCCCCTCTGTTCCCTGACAGCCCCCCGGGACCCCTGCCCAATCCACACACCCCCGCTCCCTGTCCCCTGACTGCCCTCAGACTCCCGCTGCCCCATCCAACCCCTCCTCTCATTCCTGACAGCCCCCCTGGGACCCCTGCCCAATCCACACACTCCGGCTCCCTGTCCCCTGACTGCCCCCTACCTCCTCATCCAATCCCCCCTTCTTCCTGACTGCCCCCCCAGGATCCCGCCCCCATTCAACCTCCTGTTTCCCCCCCAACCACCATCCACACCCCCGCCCCTGACCAGGCCAGGAGCTCGGGGGCTGGGCAGGATGAGCCTGCGGGCCGTAGTTTGCTCACCTCTGTTCTACAACATGTTTGTGTCTACTGCTCTGGTGTAAAAGGAATGAAACTTGTGCCTTGCTGATGTTGCCGGCACAGAGGCCCGAGGACAGCAACAGTGGGGTTCGTTGCCCGGTGTGCTTTGCGTCAATAAACATACCGGGGTGGAGAAACAATCAAAGATTATTTGAGATCTCAAA